TTTTGAATTAGGAAATCGCCTAAGTAATACAAAATTATCCAATGATTTCAACTTCCAGCTTTTTCAGTTGCATCCGTCTTTATGGTGCAAAATCAAAGAACTCGTATTACGCTAAGCCGCCACACCGGTGGCTACAAAAAAGACGGCCTAAAGACAGACTTCACCTCTCACTTCGCCTTCGGACTTCTCTTCATCCTCAGGTTTATTTTTTTTAACCCACATCTGGCCTGCCGGTTGGAGCTGAAACCAAAGCTTCCTTTGCCAATTATTTTGCTCCATGTCAAGGAAACTTCTCACGAGCTGCCATTGCATCCGTGCCCCGATCAGCATCCAATTATAAGAAACATTAGGTGATCAGCCCATCATTGGAGAGTGTCAGGTCCCTAGTTGCATAGATGGCTAAGCGATAGCAAGCAAAATGAATGCTAATAATTGTGACTTCTTTTAAGACTGGCACACTCATTTATTGTGGACTTTATTTTGTATGTAATAAAAGTCGAATTGCATTATTGTTTGGAGCAATTAACTCTGAACTTTAAATTTCTTCCCGAGCCTCAAGCAGCTTATTTATTTAGCAGGCGAACTTCCTTTTCCAGTCAGTACTGCATAGATTTAAGCCTTTGTTTCAGTTGCTATATATACGTTGCAAGGGAGGGCTGCCAAGACAATGCAACATTAAGCCTAGCCTTAGGAAACAGTTGCCTACGAATGGAAGCTTTGGAAACATTTTAGGCTGAGGTCACTCAATCAACTGATAGGTTATGCTCACTACAAGTTCCTCAAATTCAGAGGTAGTGGTGGTCACAAGTAGACGATTTGCAAACGTTTACCCCGAAGCTCAGTTAGCTCTTCCATTCGAATGCCTCCTATTTATGCACCGCGGATTTTCTGCATTGTTTAAGCGTTCTACATATGCAAAAAATACGGTGTTCACAAATCTCTCTTTGTCCAGTAAAATTGATTTCAAATTTTAAATTGCTCTATTTGTATCACAAACACAACATGGAGTTACCTGAAAAACTCGCATCTACTGCGTAATAGGCTTGGCGATGGTGCGCAGACTCATTCAGGATGCGCTTGCGAGTTGACCTCATTGGGGCAGGAAAATGAATTATTGGGTAAAGCTAACCTACAAAAGGTGCACTTTTAAAAAGATTGGAACTGTACCAGGTGAAGACTCCGATCACTTTGATCGCTTGTGTCTTTCGTCACGGCTGCTCTCCCAAATTACTCAACTGAATAAAACCCTATATCAGAACAGATTCTTCACCCCTTTTGGCGCCTTTTAATCCTACAAAATAAAATGTAAGCCATTGTCCATAGCAAATCAATGCAATTTGTTAAATTGTTATTTCAGCTTCATATAGAATTATTACTGTAGCAATAACAAGAACAATTTTGACCCTTTGCAAGGTTATTTTAGTGAAAGCACTCTTCACTTCTTTAATTCCGCGACAATGACGCCCGGACTCATGATAAACCTATTCGTCAAGTCTTCCTCTTAATTCTTCCTTACACATTAAGTTCGCTACTTTGACATTGTGAAACTAATAACACTTTCCAATATCAGTGCAATGCGAGGCGTGCATAAACTGCAACCACTTAGAAATAAAATCATATTTTTTTGTAGGTCTTTTATACGATCAACGAATTTTTTCACTATGACACGAAAAAGGTCGTTCTCGTATTGCTATTCCATTTAATACAAGGTCTTACTGCTATGCCAGATCATTTAAAAGTGGGTCCTGCTGGGAAAAGCCTAATAATGCCAAGGTTTTCCTGCTTCAGCCCATATCATTAACTTGAAACAACTGGATGATCGATTCCGCTCTCTTCAGGCTCGCCACACACTATCAACAACATAGAATGTAAATGTTAATTGCTTGATTAATAGCACAAAAGGCAACTGTCTTCCTTTCACCAGCCATTCAGAATGGCATACTTTACTTTATGCAATCTTGAGGTCAACCATGGGAGAGGAATTTTTTATTCTTTTGCGAAGATTACTAATCCACATTTGAGGTAGTGATAGAGTGTAATTGAGGGAACTCAGCTCATACAACCTTGGATTTTACTTCCAGTACAAACAAAGATGTACGACCAATCATGGCACCATAAAGTGCCTTCCCTGATTGGTGGATTGACACTGGAGTTGCCGAAGTACATTGCTTCAGAATTGGCTGGCCACAGACCATCATAACTGGGCCCATACATATACACACACACACACACACGCCTAAGCACTCAGAGAGATAAAGTGAATTGAGGTCTTTGAAAAACCAGATAGAGGAAAGTGTCTTGATGTGCGTGTGTGTGCTGTGGGTGGGTGGATTGGTGTCCATTTAGTTATCAAATAGATCATCATCACCCCCACATTCAAGCCTTTAGCGCATGCGTGTGTGTGTGTGGCCTCACCCTTTCCCGAATTTGCACACACATACACACACCTCGCCTCCCTCTCCTCCTCCCCCCGACAGAGCCAATCACAGCTGTCCGTCACCGGTTTATATGCGGAAGGTGCGGAAGCAGAAGCGATCAGTCAAATTTTAAGCGGACATAATCACCACCGTACACACACACGCATCGGCAGACAGAATTCAATACAGTTGGAATTTATACTAGCAATGGCTGTCAAGACTCGAATGGCACACTACACTTTCTTCACGCTGTTTTGTGTAAGTTTGTACACCCTCCGAGACTTATAAACCAAATTAGTTTTTCTTTCCCTTAAACCTTTTGTTAAGTAGAACGTAGAGCGTAGTATATGTCTATGCCTATTATTATGCAACGTTTGGAGGATTGAAATTTCGTGCATTATGACTAGGTGATTTTGGGAATGAAATTAACGTTTTCCTCGTCAGGGTAATGGCATGCTACACAGAATACGGACTGAAAGAAGAGTGAACTGTCAGTGAGAGTAGTTCCATCGGTTAGCTTGAAGGGAAATAGAATTACAACTGATGATTGTGAGTGAGTAATTGAGATGCTCTTCTGGTTTGCTTTCCACTTGAAGAAACTAGAGTAAGACGGATGGTTGTGTGTGTGCGTGTGTCCGTTAAAAACGACCGTTCAGTGATGCTTAAATATCTGGCATTTCCCAAAGAAAACTATTTTGACAAGCTAAAGACTGATTGATTTGCTATGTGGGTTGGACTGCACTTGTATGCGGGTTTGTGTTTTGTTAATTCTCCTACTACATGCTTAATTGCCCTCAAGTCAACATACGCGTGTATGTTAAAGGTTTGGATTACTTACTAACTCCTATCAGTCTCCAGGTAGCTATAAACTGAACTCCAACGGAAACAAGTGGTAGAAATTTAATTTGCCTTTTTTGTGCATTCATTTTGTGACGTTAATAACCATAGTGACCTTCATGTGAAAGATAAGTTAAGGCGAAAATGTTGCCGTTGCATGTCTGCGATAAGGCGGAGTGATTCAGGCTTTTTGATACTTGGCTATGACTTTTAAATGCTATGACAAATCGTTGACCCACATCGGAGCCGATCGTCTCTTGTTGTAATTGGTGTGAGCTGAAACCTATTCCTTACATCGTTCCATACAAAATATATTTGCACCAATCTTCGTTACATTTGTGTTTTTGACTTGATGGGTGTAATTCCAAAACCACTACATAAAAGTTTGGTTTCTTCCTTTCATCAGTTTCTGCACATAAGGAAAGATTACCCCGATTGAAGACTTTAACAGCATTTGAATGGCTTTTGACGCTCAGTTGGTGGAAAGGCCAAGCTATTAAATTGAAGTTCTTGTTAAAAGTTGGACTCATTCACTAAGTCAGAGCGTCTTGACTAAACAGTGTTCTCTGCGAAAAATCGGCCTATCTTGCAATAAAACCAGTTTGCTAGGCGAGTGTAGGAGCAGTGACCGTACCTCCTGCGCCTTTTTGATAATGCTAACATCTGGTTCCAATTTTTACGAACCACTCACAATAGAACCTTAAAGTCCAGCAAATTCATAGGTATACTCGACCAACTTTTTTCTTCATAACGTTGTTTTTTTTGTAGTAATTTAACGAAAGCTCTTCATAATTGTCGCCCAGTTAGTTCTTCACTCGGTTAGCCTTCCATTTTTACAACCTAAACTCTGGTCAATGGAGGTCCAAGAGTCCATTTCTTTCCTTAATTATGCTTTCAATGCAATGAAGAATTAGGTTAGTCATGTTGAGGCAACTTGACTTCAACGTCAACAGCAATGAGACTGGCTGATTTCATCGCTTAAATACAAGAAGAAATGTCAATGGCTTGCTATCTGTTGCTTGTGAAACGCATTCCACGTAGTTGAAGCAGTGTTTTGGGTTTGCCCAGCAGCTGATTGAGCGACTAAATTAACAAAGTGAAATCTATTGGTTTTCATCAAATGTGGAAATACATAAACCGGTCTTAGAGGCGATTTGGAACCTTATCGAATAACTGGAAAGGGCTGTAAATTTGGTGTCGAAAAGGATGGATTTAAGCGTCCCCTCTGTGCAATAAGTTTGTGATGAGCATTTGATAAGAGTAGGTCTTGTGAAAAATTCGTCAGATCTTTGAAAAAAAGTGGAAAATTAATAAAATGTAAAGGTGCTGCAAACTATGCTACAACTCGTCTGTCGTTGAGTAACTACATTCAGAGGCCTCCGAGTAAATAGCAAGTGCTTTTAATAGCTGCGCTAAGACAAGTCGTATTTTTTCTTGGACTTTAACCTCAACTACCTGCCTGGACCCTAATTTTGGAGTGGCGCCTTGTAAACCTACCCCAATTCCTCCCTTCCAGAAACAACTTCGCCGACTACTTATGCATTATTTTGGGTAACACGGAACAGCATAATCGTTGAACAGCACAGAGATATCATTGTATTGATGACCTGATCCTAATGAACTCTCTTCAAAAAGCAATAAGCAAATTTTAAAATGGCATTTGAACACCAGATGCTAGTAATGATTGACGCCAATTAAGCATTGTCACTCAAGCACTCTTTCCTCCGCTGTCTCTTTGCCGCATCAATGACGTGGCGTGCCGTCACATTCGCAGCTCACCATCACCTGATGTGCTGTAATGGCAACAGTTCCTCCTCCTTCTCCTATTATTATGCATTAGTTTAACGAGGGAAACTTATTGGTGCACTTTTTCAGACACTTGTGGCGGGAGGTGGCATATTCGAAATTCGCGTTGAAAAATTTCAATTGGACGAAAACTTCCCTGCTGCCAAGTGCTGCCCTCAAAATGGCGATGGAGAGACTGATAGATCCTTCACAGATTGCCTTGCCAAATGCCAGTTTCTTATCCGGGTATGTTTCCCAATTTCAAATCCATGTGAGTGGATGGATATGAATTAGGACGTTTGTCGTGGACCCAAAGCTGACACCTTCACGACTTATGTTCGGCTTCTTAGGTTTGTCTTGACAAATATCAGACCGTCTGGAATGCGGACTGGCAACCTGAGTGCCCGCTAGGGAGCAAGGTCTTTCCACTTCCGCTGGCACAGCGAAAGAAACCGTTAGTCAACATCAGTTTTCCTGTTCAAGGAACTTGGCAGGTAATTTTCTTTTCACAGTCTAAAGCTGGTGCTAGAGCATCTTGTTAATAGTCGTACTTTATACTTTCAGGAAAATTTCACACTAATGCTGGATATCCTTCATGACGCCGGTGACACAAGTATAAACCAGTTTAATATAACTTCTTGTAAAAGATAACTGAATTCGGTAACGTTTTTATGTTCTCCATGCATAGGTTCACCAAAATTGCTCTTCCGACTGCCCTCAAATGAAGTCAACTTTACTTCACACCACCAATGGAAAGTGAAATCTTTCGGAAGCCGCTCATCGCTTGCATATGGGAAACCGCACTCTCAACTGGCGCCCACACAACGTGGAATAGGGCTTAGGGTTCTCACGACGTTCACTTTTAAGTGTTCGCCAGGATTCTTTGGCCCATTGTGCGAAAACAGGTGCGATTTGGAAGGTGGCCAATTGGAATCGGCTGAATGCGAATCGGATGAGACACGGTGTCCTCAAGGTTATAAAGGTCAACACTGTGACATACGTAAGCACAGTGACACCAATGAAACTTTATCCGCTCATTTGTGATCAAATCACTTAAGATGTTGGCTGCTATTGAATGCATTGGAACAACTAATGCTGTAGTGAAGCCAAACCCAGGTTTATGCAGCTACATGTTCTAGGCCATAACTCATAAACTTGTTTTAAAAGCTAATCTTTTCCTTTTCGTAGCGATTTGCACGAAAGGATGTCAAAATGGTGATTGCATCGACCCCGATACTTGCAGGTATGAAATAATAAGCATGCATGCCTCTGACTTAAGTGAAAGCCTAAATGACACATTTTTATCACAATGACATCGAATCATTGTTTGACAAGCATAGACATTTCAATGGTATGCTTCTTCATGAACTCTTTTGAACGGTTTCATTTTATTTAGGTGCCATCAGGGTTGGACAGGAATAGATTGTAGCGTCTGTCAAGCCTACCCAGGTTGCAAACATGGTTCATGTTCCTTTGATCAAAAGAAAAATCGCCAGCTTCCATTTACGTGCTCTTGCGAAGAGGGATGGGGTGGAATGTTGTGCGACATTGGTGAGTTGACTGTGCTATTCATATCCAACTAAACTTTTTCTTGATGATAAAAGGTGCATAATTTAGACCACATTATAAACGCAATCTCCTAGATCTTCAGTTCTGCCAGAATAATAAAGGAGTCTGCAAGAACAATGGGAAATGCGAAAACGCGAGAAGTCCCAGTGGTCAGCCGTATCGTTGCGTCTGCGTTCCCGGTTTCCGAGGTGACCACTGTGAGATGGTGCAACTCGACTGTCTCAGTCACGGTTGTCGCAACGGTGGCCAGTGTACCCAGCACATGGACGGACAAGTGCGTATTAGACGTTCTAAATAATTGTACTTAAATGCAAATAGTAGCATAACTCTCTCCGTGCTTGTCGCAGACCCGTTGCATTTGTCCAAAGGGCTATTACGGCACTTTGTGTGAATTTAATCAGACAATTTGCTCGGAGCATCCCTGCCAAGCTGCTAATTCTGTCTGTCATCCATTACCCCAACCAAAAAATGGTCGACAGTTCTATTGTGCCTGCCCACCTGGCTATACTGGAGACAATTGCGAAATCAACATTGATGACTGTGCATCGAAACCTTGCCAAAATGGTTAGCGTTACCTTCCTGAGTTTCAATTTCCAAGTGTCGTAACATTAAAATTCAAATCATTCTTTGCAGGAGCATTTTGTGAAGACCTCATTAGCAGTTATCGGTGCATCTGTCCATCCGGTTTCTCTGGGATATGGTGCGAAAATCGTGAAGTTGAATGCCCTCCAGACACTTGCCCGAAGGGTTCCACTTGCTACAAAACTAAAGACGGGACTTTTAAGTGTTCTTCAACAAACAGGGCTAGCTCTCAAAGGCATCAGAGTTACTTGGCTACCAATACCACCTTTTTAACTTCCTCAGAGCCTTTAGCCTCTGATAAGAGCAGTATCGTCATGGTCCATTTGCAGCCCTCATTTCTCAGTCTCACCATTGGCATTCCTGTTGCAGTCGCTATATCCGGCCTTGTCCTAGCCATCGCCGTATGTCTTTTCATGGCAGTGTGTCTATGGAGACGTGAAAAGACCCATTCTAAAATAAAGTCATCCCCACAAAACTTTTCTCCAAAACTCCAACTAGAAGAAGACATAAACGGATACGCCTCGGAGACTTCCACAATTTGGTCGGCTTACGAGCCACTGAGTTCGTTGCGCTCTAATGAGACCAAACTACCCAAGCTTTCCCTCTACCCAAAACTGAAAGGAGAGGACAAAATGAAACATTTGGAACCCCCACTGTACCACCAACAGCGGTACTGCGAAGCGCCATCGAATCGTTCTTTCTCAACTCTTCTTTCCCCCACCTCCACTTACGAAACACCCAGCAGCTATGAGGACACCAGTGTACCAACATTGCCTCCACGCCCCTCGAGGATCGGTTCAATCATTACCTATCCACCTACCTTCCTTCGACCCATCCTCTACCCCTTTTCGCCGCAAAAAACATTTCCTGGCCAGCGTTTTACCAACTCGCCAGCTGATTTGGCCTATACAACGCTCACCAACGATAATAAAAGGTAAGTGTATCTCATCGTCTTTTCAGAATAAAAAAATGCAGTGACATGTTTAAATGCATCAGTACAGCAATGCTCCCACCATTTGACTGGCTTTGTGTTAAATCTCTTAAAATTAGTTTATTTTGCGAATCAGAGAACACGTTTAAATTGCACGCAGGCACAAAGACACAATTGTATACGCAATAATAAAATCTTCTGATGTGGTCCATGGACTCTATCCCAACGTTCAAAAGGGAAAAGAATCATACAAGTGTAGCAACAATGGCAGTGGCGATGGTGGATACCGATCCAAGGCACTTCCGCAGCTTGCACTGATCGAGACCAAAGTACTCAGTGCTCATCGAAGTAGCAGCAGCAGCAGCAGCAGCGGCAAAAGCAGTTGCAGGGACGAAAAAGAGGATAGGTCAACGTCTACCCGAGTCTAATCCCTCCGTATGCACTTAATGGCTTCACCGCTCTCACATTAACACCTACGACTTATTCATAATCAGAGAATGAGTGGGGATTCAACATCGTCTCTCGCATTTATATTTCAATCCTAGAAAGCGATCATTGAATGCTTCACCTCTCTTCCTACTACCAAGTCTAGGCCTGACCAATCACCAGACTTGCCTTTTGCGACCACTGATATTCCCGTGTCAGGGTCGCTTTCTTCCCTCTTTCATCTCCTTCTCCTCCCCAACTCCTCACATCAACGCACAGTCCGAAAGAGATACATACCAACACCAGTGCCTTCATCTGTTCCATTAACTTGTGTG